TGTGGAGGTGGTGGAGAAGGGGGAGGTCGCCAACGGTGGTGGTGGTGGTGGCGGCGGTGGCCGCAACTAGCGGTGGTGACCACTAAAACAAATACTATGTTAAGGTTATATATCAAACGAGGGTTAGTTGGTAATATTTTAGTTTCTCTCTCATTCTTGTCCCATCGTGTTCCACCTATTTTGGTGGAACAAGAAAAAACCTTTTTTGTCCCAAGCTGTCCCACCTTGTCGTAGTTCTTGTCCTTGTCCTATGTCGCACAAAACGTGGGACAATGAGTTCTTGTCCTGTCCCATCTCGTGCCAAACATGGGACAGTGAGTTTTGTCCTGTCATGTCCTGTCCCATGTACCAAACGCAACCTAAATAACATCTCTTCAGGGAAACAAATATTTCATCTTTATCATTAATGATTTCAATCGAATGACCTAGATGTATTTCATGAAGGAAAAGTCAGAAGTTTTTGGCCTCTTCAAAAAGTTCAATGTTCTAATAGAAACTCAAGGTGGATGCTAATTGAAGATGTTGAGGTCTAATCAACGAAAAGAAAATATATTTCCATAGAATTTGATAAAATTTGTGAAGATGAAGGCATTGAATGTCAGCTTACAACTACGTATACACCCCAACAAAATGGAGTTTCAGAGAGGAAAATAGAACTGTTATGGAAATGACTAGATGCATGCTCACAAAAAAGAAAATGCCAAAAAAGTTTTGCGCAGACACTTGCATAGCTCTGTTTTTTGCTTAATAGACTTTCCACTAAGGCAATTCAAGAGAAAAACCCCACAACAAAACATATAAAAGAGTTTGGTTCGGTGCTATGCTCACATTTTGTCCTAGAAAAGCAGCAAGCTCGATGAAAAAGCAGAAAAAGGGAATCTTCATTGGTTATGACTTAAAATCAAAAGGTTACAGGATTTCAATCTTAATGCTAATAAGATCATAGTGAGTAGAGACGTGGAAGTCGATGAAGATGCTATCTGGAATTGGGAAAAGAAAAAAATTGAAAGAAAAATGGTTCTAGTCCATGATCTTCTTAATCAACAAAACCTTCAAGAATTAGATGGTGATCTTGACAATGGTGTAAACCTAGATTCTCATACACCTCCATCGTCTCCTGTACAAGCAGCAGGCTCCCCAACTTTGTGTGCCAGCTCATAAAATGTTGTCGGTTCTCGAGGTAAAAAAACACTCTCTGGGTTATATGAAAATTGTGCCATCATTCACTTATATGTTGAACAGTGCGAGGGGTGTCACTTTGCTATTGAAGAACCATGAGATAATGATGAAGCCTCCAAGCACAAAGAATGGCGGGATGCTATGAATAATGAAATGGAGATGATCAGAAAGAATGAGACATGGAAGTTAGTCAATAGGCCTAAAGATCGAAAGGTGATAGGTGTGAAATAGGTCTACGAAACCAAGATGAATCTTGATGGTACTGTCAACAAACACAAGGTCAGATTAGTTGTCAAAGGCTATTCTCAGCAAGCTGGTATAGATTATGGGGACACTTTTGCTCCAGTGGCCCGAAACGGTACTGGAATGATTCTTATTGTATTAGCATCTCATGAGGTGGACAAAATTTCAGCTTGATGTTAAATTTGCTTTTCTGAACGTGAACTTGAGGAAGAGCTTTACATTGAGCAACCTCTTGGATTCACTGTTGAAGGAAAAAAAGAGAAGGTGTGCAGACTCCTTACTGTTTACCTAAATGCTTACCCGATAAGTACTTATCGATATGAGTTAACACTATAATTTATTTTGATGTGTAAGATTTTAGTACATTAAAACGTATCGAATGCAACAACTTACCTGGTAAGCGCTTACCTGGGTAAGAGTCGTCATCTTCACTTACCCGGTAAGACTCTTCATCCTTCTCATTGCTCTTACTTGGTAAGATTTTTGACCCTTGTCATGTTCATTCGATGAGGAAATTCATCCGGTAAGCACTTACCAAGTAAGCATTTAATAAACGGCCCCTAATAAAAAGCTTTCTAAGGCCTAAAACAGGCTCCACGAGCTTGGTACCACATTATAGATCCTTAGTTCATCGAGCAAGGCTTTGAGAGAAGTAAAAATGAGCACCCGTTGTACACAGAAGAGCAAGTAAAAAAAATGATTTACTCGTTATATCCTCCTATATTGACGATCTCCTGGTAACATGAGACGATTCAAAGATGATCCTTATATTCAAGGAGGAGATGAAGAAGTTCGATATGACTCCAAGGAGCAGGAACTGCCATTTTAACCCTTCTCAGGGATTCCGGTCTATAATGAGATATGAATCAAAAACTTTCAATTGGACTTATTCTTTCAATTGGTATTGACCCACCAAAGCACGAAAGCTAGGAACTTTCAGAAAATGGATCCTTATTCGAATCATGTCAAAATAGACCCCCTCTCATATTTGCCACTTAGTTTTACCCAAGCTTCATCTTAGTAATAGGATCGATCAGGCCCCGATAGGTAAATGATCAACTTACCACCCTTTTTAATTATTTATTTTATTAAGTTTTATTTATATAACTTAGCGGACTAAAAAAAATCTTTTTGTAGCGAATAATTTATTAAAAAAATATAAATTTGGGTGGGTTTTTTTTTCCGCAAAGCAATGAAAAAGGCTATAGAATTAACTGAACAAGCATATACAAAATGAATCCCATTATTTTCGTATCCGTAAGCAAATTCATTTTCTGTGGTTTCCCTGATCAAACTAGAGGTTATTCATGGCATGGAGATTCACCAATCGGAAGATGGAATCTTTATTTCCCAAGCCAAATATGCAGACAATATTCTTAAGAAGTTCAAAATGAAACATTCCAAAGCAGTTGCAACCCCCTTCATTGCAAATGAGAAGTTTTCTGAAAACGATGGGTGCAAAAAAGTTGACCCAAAAGCAGTACAGGAGCTTAATAGGAAGCTTGTTGTACTTGACAACAACAAGACCAGCTCCAATGTTTGCTGCAAGCATGCTATCAAGGTTTCCGAATGAACCAAGTGAAGTTCACATGGGTGTTGCGAAAAGGGTCCTTAGATATTTGAAGGGTGTTTCTGGCCTTGGGATTCATTACCAACCAAGTTCTGATCTGAGGTTAATTGTCTATTTCGATAGTGATTGGGGAGGTTTTACAGATGACATGAAAAGCACTTCAGGATATGCTTTCTCATTTGGTTTGCAAGTGTTTTCATGGATTTCCAAGAAAGAAGAAGGTATAACTCAGTCCACTGCAGAAGGTGAATATATTGCAGCTTGTGCAACTGCTAATCATTTTATATGGCTGAGGAAGATATTTGCTGATATGGGATTCAAGCAAGATCATCCTACTAAAGTTTTTGTGGACTATAAGTCAGCCATTGCTATCTCAAAAAATCTAGTGTGCTTCAGCAAGACAAAACATATGAAAGTCAAGTTCTATGCACTCTGTAAAGCTGGACAAGACAGATAAGTGAAGCTTCTTTATTGCCTGTCAGATTTTCAACTTGCAATATTCTCACCAGGACATTACCAAAGGGCAAGTTTGAGTTCCTTCTATTCAAACTCAGTGTGACAAACAAAAGTCTCAAGGAGGAGTGTTAATGTATGTGACCTTTTGTTAATCTTATTGAGAGTCTATATTGAATGCGGTCCAGCGGTTAAGAAGATGATAAGTTGTGTCTTAAATAATATGAGTCCTCTAGAGTTCCTTAAATATAGCTCTAGAATACTCTATTAATCTGTTTGAAAAGATCAAGAAATCATAAGAAACAAAAGCTTTCCCTCCAAATTATTCTCTCTGTTTTCTTCCACTCTATAAATTGTCTCATATCTAACAGTTATCTTCTCCAATACATATACAAATATACTCCCAAACACCATAGACGAGGGCACAAAATATATTAATTCTTCACTGTTTCTCCATTCCAAGTATTATAACCATCATGATGATTAGTAGTGGACTTCTGTCAGTGGTCTCTTTCACTCGTTTTAGGTTTCCATGGAAATTCAGTGTTGTGTTCCTTCTCTTCATCTTTAATATCGTACATCAAGTTTATTACTTTCTTGATTGTGATACATGGTACACTGAGGATATGGTTTGTCTTTCTGCATTAGAACCTACCATAAGTTATAGTTTGGATCATGGGGTTGTTGACTTTTCTACCTGTTTGACTTTGACCTTGATTGAAGCTCTGAATGGGATTGTATTCTAAACAAAATTAGATACATTAATTTGTCACAGGGGTGTAGCTTGGTTTGTCAGAGGAAGACAATAACAAAATGATAAAAAAAAACTCTGGAATTTAGAAAGAAACAAAAATTGATTAAAAATAAAATAATCTTATTTTACGGTTAAATTGATTAAGAAGATTCATGTTAACGACAGGTCAGTGACATGTCAAAGAATCAGCCAACCAAATCCTAGGCAGCATAAACTGAATGGATAGGTTTTACAAAGTTCATTACCGCAAAATGGAAGAAGTGTGAAAGTTGGTTGCTATATTTTGTAATTAAACCTTTCTATGATGCTAGGATTTAAGCTTAATGATGTGACTATGTCAGCAAATAATTAGTTAACATTCCCTTTGTCATGAACAGAAGAGTAGTAAACTGCCTTTTTTTTTCTTTTGTTTAGCAATTTTTCATTGCAATCTGATGTATATTCACTTAGGACTCATAAATATATATATTGCCCATTCCATGAAAAATGCAACATACCTTTTCTGGAAAGATTTCAAGTTAAAGTTGCCATTTCTTTATCATTATGATTACGAATACATTGATGGAAATTGAGTTGATTTGGATCTACAAGATGCCTCTATTCTTCTTATTGAAGGTTATTTAAGATATTTGACAAATAGTCAAATATTTTACTTAAACAGTTAAACCATGCGCCAACTATCAAGTCAAATGTCGCAATGTACATGAGAACAAAATGATCTATTTATCCCAGAACATAGATTTTGAAAGCATATGTAACAGAATGTTTTTTGATATCCTCTCACACCATCAATTTCATTAGGTTCCTGTTGTGATGTGTCCTGAGGATGGTTGCTTCCCTGGGCTCTACTGTTCTGATTTGCTTAGCAAACCCTGGCTTTTAGATGAATCTACAATGATATTGTCTTCCATTTGGGGAAGCACTCAAGCAATACTTTCTGTGAATGTGCTAAGGTATATAATCACATTGTTTCTTGAAGACGTTCCAGTTGCACTATAGCTTGTCTAATTGGCACTTCACTCCTCTATTTGCAGTGGGAAAGTTTCAAAAATCACTCCCAGCAATTCAAATCATTCATGGAGTTTACTCGCACTTGATGGCGATAAAATCCTTGCTGGTAGTATATGAAGCTAATCTTTTGCACTGTTCTATTGAGAAAGTTATGGTACATGATGATTCATAATTTACTAAGAAAATATATTGTTTCATCTGCCTATTTGTAGTCTGTAGCAGCCCTATAGATGTCCCTCAGATCAAATATGGCAGTCTAGCTAAGGATGAATCTAAAGATGCCATCTGGCGATGGCTAGATATTTCAAGCCCGACATCTGGATGTCAAGAGAAAGTATGTTCTTTTGAAGATGATTACATGTATTTATTTCCATGAATGGTTTTTAAAAGGTACTTTGATATGATGGAAACAGGTCAGATCGTTACTTTCATCTCTCCAATTTGACATATTGAAGATACCGGTCAAGAGTGTATCTGAGAACCTGACAAAAGGTATCCTTGAAAATATCAAGTGCAAGAGTAATTAGGGCTACAAGTGAGTACCCGAGTTTTTAGGTAGTGTAAATCTATGACAACTATTGAAGTTAGCACAGATGCAACTTCTTTTCCTTTGTCTAGAAGAGCCAGAATGTAATTATGAGATTTAACAATTCTCGATTTGTAGGTCCATTTATATGGTACAAAAAACAATGAAGATCTCGAAGTGGGTCCGTCTCATTTACTTGATATTGATGTAAATAAGAGAGGGCCCACAAAATGAAAAATAGAGAAGGGCTGAAAATGATATAAAGGAATGGAAGTTTTTGATCCACAGTTAACATTTGGCACACGAAACATGTAATGGATCTAATTTTTCAGAACCAGAACGATATTTCATGAATTTATTATCATGGATTGTGAGATAATTTGGATATCCTGAAGGTGTTCTGTATCTTTTATGTTCTTGTTCAATTTGCATCAATTCTAATTACCTTGTAACTTGTTCCATTTAGGTGCTGGCAAACCTTTTGAAGCAATATTTGTATCCTCAAAATCGAAGCGTGATGCTTGTGACCCACTAATTGTAATCCTTCATGGAGGCCCACATGGTGTTTCATCGTCAAGCTTCTCAAAGTCCTCGGGTTTTCTTGCTTCAATTGGCTATAGCTTGTTAATAGTGAATTACAGGCGAGTCATCTGCTTCTAAATGTTATAAAAATCTCTGATATATTTAGGAGACTGGTCTATTTCACTGCTCTGATGCTTAAACCTTGGATTCATCCAATTTTAAAGCTCAAATCTGTTGTTTGACTTTGAAAGCCAATTTGTATATCTTTTTACTGAATGCAGAGAGAAACTGATTGCCTGTTTTTATTTTTCAATTCTGTCCTACTTGGAAGCATTTCCTTAATAGCAATGTTCTTGCAGAGGTTCACTTGGATTTGGTGAGGAAGCACTGCAATCACTTCCAGGGAAAGTTGGATCACAGGTGCCTTTTCTTTGCATTTATTATAGAGAAATACATTTTCACCAATCTATATGGCCTTTTTACCTGTGTTTCGACCATTTCTTGCGCTCCTATTGGTCTTAGGGGCTGTTTGGTTGGTTTTCCATTAGGTTCTGTATGGATAAAACTGGCTGTATGGATTAATCTGTCTGTATAGATTGGGAGGGTTTTTTCATAGATGGAAGAAGCGTGTTGTTTTAGTTGGGAGGGACAGGTCTGGAAAAAACTTGGCATTCTGTATGAAGCTCCCCCCTATAAGCTTACTTGAATAAACCACTTTCTATATCATTAAGCCACTATCAATCAGTTACGTATAGCTGACCGAATAAGTTGCGAGTCCCATTTAGCTCATTAAGCTAATAACAAACGGACCCTAAATTTTCCGTACCTCAATGAGGTGTTTTAACATCATTTCAATAACAACAAATTAGTCAAGTCAAATTTTGGGTCAGAAAGTAGGACACCCAGAGAAAAGAACATATCAGCAGTCACCACACAAAGTTAATGCTGTGCTCGTGCAAGCACCAAATTGAAAATTCTAAGGCTATGCTTGCCATTAGAAATTAGCTGAAAAGCTAGTTGTTGGCTAATAAGCGAGCTGATAGCCGATAAACTAGTCACGTTTGTTAAAACCTAGCAGATAAGCTAGATGACAATGTGAAGTTACCTAAAAGGATGGGGTTTTTGGTCATTTATGTAAAATATCTGGGATATCATTGGAAAATAGAAGTCCCCTGAGCTTATTGAAATTCTGCCTGAAGTAGCTTTTAAAAGCTAGTTTATGGCTTACCAAACAAGGCTTTTTCAATGAACTCCAAAAAATAAGCTAACTTATGGTTGCCAAACATGGCCTAAAAGTAGTAGTTCATATGGTACATATATTGATGGCAAGAAAACTGTGCTGTGATTGATCATAGTTTACTTGGTCTTATTTTAAAGGAACTTCTTTTTTAATTTTTATTTGTATGAAGGATGTAAACGATGTCCTCACAGCTGTAGATCATGCCATTGACTTGGGGCTCGCAGACCCATCAAAAATAACCGTGGTCGGTGGGTCCCACGGTGGTTTCTTAACTTCACACTTGATCGGGCAGGTATGGAAGTTGGTTTTTCTTTTATAAGGGACATCAACCATCGCTAGAGATTACTTACTTGTGCTATGAAATCTGCAGGCGCCAGATAAATTTGCTGCGGCTGCAGTGAGGAACCCCGTTTGTAATCTTGCTTTAATGGTGGGTACATCAGATATACCAGATTGGTGTTTTGTGGAGACGTTCGGAAGCAAGGGACTTTCTACCTATACAGAAGCCCCTTCACCTGAACTCCTCTCCTTCTTTCACGAAAAATCCCCTATTTCACATCTTTCAAAGGTATGCCTACTTCCAATTGGGATATACTGGGCTCGTCTGGTCTGGTTTGGTTTGGTTTGGATTAGACGTGCAAGCTGGTCCGAACACCCACATTTATTTAAAAAATCCTTATTTGTAAGGTATTAGATATGTATCATTAGGTAGTAAATTTATTTAAAAGAATGCTAGGAAATTTCTAACATTTGATAGGGCACAAAGTTTAAGAGAAGCGTTTTGAATATTTGTCAAATAGCTTAAATACTTTCTAAATAATGATAGAATAAGAGAATCTTATGGACGTAAATCAATATGATCGTCAATTTTCAGTAATAGTGACCATGTGTAAGTGGGTAATCTTCTAACTTGAAATGCTGTGTGAAAAGAAAATGTAGCAATAACAATACAACATCTCAAAATGGAAATTGTTGCAATTTTTATAGACGAATGTATATCTATAAAAGATTGTACATCGACCAACGACGATGTACTAAAACTTCCCCTCACTTTTGTTGGTTATTATTTGCTTTATGTGCATCTATCTATTTTACCATTCATTTGATATTTCCAGGTGAAAACTCCAACATTGTTCCTCTTAGGTGCTAAAGATCTCCGTGTCCCTGTTACTAATGGCTTGCAAGTGAGTTTTTCATTCTATTCGATTGCCTCAATTATCCATATTCTTCATTTTTGTAAGTGTGCAATTACGGTTTATGTAGCATAGTAGATGTTTGGAAATAGTCAAATAGGAGTGATCCTCCATTTTCTTTTGTATACATGACCCACAAAGCGAAATGAAGAAAATGGAGTAAAAATGAACCTCGGGTTTCTTTTGTGGATCCATTTTTATGTGGATACAAGACCCACGAAGTGAATAAAATGAATTTTTCTCAAGTTTCTTGAGAGGATAAAAAGTTATTTCAATTAATTTTCTTATTCCATCATTTATATTCATGTGTGGTATGTTGATAATAATGTGAAATGGATATACGATATGCGAAGTTTGCGCGGGCATTGAAGGAAAAAGGAGTTGCGGTGAAAGTGATCGTTTTTCCTGAAGATATGCATCCAATCAACAGGTATACATTTCTCTATAAGAAGCTTTAGTATGCGTTATTGTAAGTTTATATTCGATCATGAATAATTGATTTGTGTTGGTGTGTTACAGACCACAATCGGATTTCGAAAGCTTTGTTAACATCGGAGTTTGGTTCAAGAAGTATTGCAAGTAAGGTCATCATATTGGACCTTGAAATGTAATGCCATTATGAATTTCTTTCATCATTATGGTATAAATAACATCCATTGCAAAATTAGGCGACTTATTTTGTATTGATTCAACAGCCTAAATGATACTTTTATGAATATTTAATGTTTAAGCATTGTTTTGAAATTGAAACCATAATGGTGTGGTAAACGACCAGGTGAGCTCCAGCTCATGAGTTGCATCTGAAATCGCATGGAACTCTTGCAAATGACATGTTAAACGACTACAATGAAGTCGAAGTCCTTTTCAGTTAAAGCTTTAACTGGGATACATATCAAGACTCAAAACCACGTATCATCATTCGATTAATTAATTGTAATGTTCAATACAAGATTTTCATGCTTCAGTAGGAAAATAATACATCTTAAATTACGTTAAACCTATAATTCATAAATATACAATTAGTGATGGCCAAAAATCAGTCCCAACCGGGCCCTACGCTTCGCATAACTGGCAGTAACCGGTCCCGGTCGAAATGGTGAAGACCGGTCAAGCCAATGTGTGACTGGTTATGGGGTACCAGTCCCGGTCCCAACTAGTCCCTACCCGTTCCAACCTTAAAAAAAAATTTAATTTTTTTAATGATATATATTTTTAATATGTTATTAAATTTGTTGTACGAGTCACTCAAATGCACTTTAAACAAATACGTTTTTATAATAATTAAAATTACATTATCTTACAAAAATTTATTATAAAATTATTTGAAAATACATTTATTCATCAATCTTCATCAGTAACCCATGTCGGATTGATTTGAAGAGTTCCGGTGTCTTGAATTTTTCTAATAGCCTCTTGGTTATCAAGGTCATCAATGTCGAGTTCCTCATCATCGTCATATTGTGAGCAAGTGTCATCGGCATCTGTAGTTGGCGGCGTGCTTAGTCCCATGGCAATTTCATTTTCTTCCGGATTTTCTTCAACCGTTTCAATCTCCATCTCTAATGATGTCGTGTGTTGAATCCTATCAACGCTATCCAAATAATTCTTCAAACAGATGCAACACTCCACGGACTTTGAGCTTAGTCTTGTCCAACGTATGGAAATGATCCTGCCACTAAGAGAAAAAGCAGACTACGAAGCTACGTAACTAACTTGGATTGTTAGTATATCACGTGCCATGTACGCCAAAACCAGGAATTGAGGTTGTTTTTGTTTCCAAAAATCTAATAAATCAATTTTTTCAAAATCTTCGACATCATTTGCGGGGTATGCGGCCATAAAGTTAGTATGCACATATATATTTAGTTCACCCAAATCGACTTTTTTTACTTGATTCATTTAAAACCCCGTTCATTAAATTAGTCATCAACTCTGTACGACTTTGTTGATGACCATTATAAGAAGAACTAGAACCCGCAAACCCACGACTTGAAGAGCTTTGTTGTTGGTTTCCTCCTCCGCAAAAAATGTTTGTAATAATCAAATAAATATTGAAAATTACGATTAAACAAACGTTTTTGTTCCATCGAAAAAGAATCGTATAAACCAAAAGCCACACATATTTGTGTACTTAAAACTTCAACACCAATAACATTTAAATACGGGTATAACGATGCAGCACAAAGAAAAACAAATGAGATGCTCATAAAATATTTTAACAATTTATTTTCGATTGAAGACATCAACCTTCCCCAATCGTGATGACGTTCGTATTTGACAATCTTACTTGCCAAAATATATAATTGGTTTAAAACTAAAGGGCTTGTTGGATAATAAATACCGGATAAAAGTGTTGTCGCATTTTTTAAATCGCCTAAAGTATCGTACAATCCTTCGATCACGGCTCAATCAAGATTTCCAATAGAATTTTGCAGGTAATGGTGTCTATAAAAAGAAAAAAATATAATTTTCTTTTTGTTTTATCAAATTTTCAATCATAAAATAAGTCAAATTCCAACGAACGGGCATATCGAACCTCGGTCCCAAAGCTCTAAAACCAACGTTCTCGCAATGCTTTCTATATTCCGCATTCATTTTCTTATCTTTTGTGAAAATTCGTCTCAACATAAGTCTAATCTTATCTGTTACGGGTTTACAAGTATTTAAACCATCCTGAACGGCTAAATTTATTATGTGTGCACAACAACGTGTATGAAATAATTTACCGTCTAATATAGGTGTCAAATGACACTTTAATTTTTCCACACAAGCATTGTTATTACTATCGTTATCAAATGAAATGTTAATTATTTTAACAGTTAAATTATAAAATGCAAGACATTTTTTTATAATTGAAAATTGATGTGCTCTTGAATGTGACATACCAAACGGTTCAAACACGATTACACGTTTGAATAAATGTCATGTTAAAGGCTCAACTCAATGTGTCGTTATGCATATATACGAAACCGGCAATCCGTATGGTGCGCGCCATACATCACACGTTAAATAAATATTGTTAGGCAAAACAGAAAATATTTGTTGCATTTCAGCCTGACACATTTTCCACATTTTTATTGCATCACGTCTAAGGGTTTGACAAACTTACCGGCTTGTATCGTGGTTGTAGCGTCTTTTGAATCAACTTCGTAACGTGAGGGTCGTCGAAATGTTCGAAAGGCAACCCGACTTAAATGACACATTGTGTTGTCATTTTTCGGTTCAACTCGACATCATACGACCATATTTGACCTTGAGTGTCATATCGGTTGGTTTTGAATCGCCCCCCGATCTCAACCCCGGACACGTTTTTTCGGTGTGCCTCCTTAAGGTAGAATTTCCTTTTGCCGTAAGAAGAGTTTGACACATTTTGCATTGTGCCTTTTTTTCGGTTCATGAGGACCACCAAGTTATAGTGATTCCAAATCTCGGACTTTCGTCCGTGTTAAGCGAGAACTTGAGCAACTTGTTCATTTGATGCATTATGTTGTTCACCGGCCATTTTGTAAGACAAAAAGAGAAAGAAATGCGAATTGTGAAGTGGAAACGAGAAATGAATACGAGTCGAATTCACAAAATATAGCGAGAAACCGAGAATTTTGAACGTTTTTTGCATTTTTTGCGAACTGAGAACTTGGTATGTAAATCTCTCAACTAAGACTAGATATTTATAGTGTTTTGAGGCCAAAAACTACAAAAAAAAGGCTATATAACATATATATAACGGCTAGTTTTTTTCAAAATTCGGGTCGGGCCGGTCCTTAACCGGTCCCGATCCCGATCCCGGTCCCTCAAATCCGACAAAATCACGAACCGGTCATAACCGGCGGTCTCATATCCAGTCCTCACTAGTCCCGGTCGGTCCCGGTTCCGGTCCTCCGGTGGTCCCGGATCGGTCTCGGGCCGGTTTGGCCATCACTATATATAAGTATGGATGTTTGTGGTTTGGTCTAAGCGGTTTAAGCATATTTTTGACACTAGATAATAAGTGGTTGTTTGAGATTTTTTCAAACCACACAGTTTGAAATGAAATGTCCAAATTGATGAAATAAGACCACAAAATATGGTATGGTTGAGAGGTCTAGATGGTTTATACTAACTATGAGCTTTAAGGTTTAACTATGAACTAAAAAAATCGAACTTAAATATAAATAAAAAAATGCAAGTGAAATTTAATGAATAACTATACCTACTGGTCCATACAACATAGATAGTATCGAAAACGTAAAAAAAAAAAAAAAGAATTGAAGAGATAATTCAATCTAAAAAATGATCTCTTGATAAGTTTGTCATAAAAGAAGGTCTATCTTCTCTTGACAATAAACATATTGATATTAATTTGGATGATACTTGTGTTGATGCTAATGAAAATCCTAACAGGGTGAATTTAGTTGGCACTCTAAATATTTTTTATAATAGTGTAACAGGACCTCCAAAAAGATTGAGATGACTCTGGTAATTAGTCCCTCGTTATCACTCTCAATCCTAGTTTCTAAGTACCTGGTTATTCTAAAACACTAGCACCATCTCTCCCAAATCTTTGTTCTTCCAAGAATCCAAAAAATGAATCACTATCATTTGTTCATCTGAGGATCCCCTTTAACCTTTTCAGACCATGGAGTACTCCTGTTAATTTCACGAAGATCCTAAAAGTTCTGGTTTTATATGGTACGATGAGGCAGAAAGAGTAGCAAAGTGAATATGGGGAAGAACACATGTTTTATTTGGTATAGTGAATAAAGGGAGAGAGAAGACAACGTTGAAAGGAAATCGATATGACGAAACCTTGGGGAGGAGATCGGTGGTACACGACGGTGAAAGGGGAAAATGATGGTGTTGTAGGTGTTGCGATGGTGTTGCGATGGTGGCAACAACGGAGAAGACAACGCTAGCGACGGTCGGTGGAAAACAAGGTGGTGAAGCAAAATTGAAAGCGGCCAGAGGCAGTGGTGGTGGTGGTGCTCACCGGAGACCGAAGGGAGAAGGGGGGAGGAGAGGTCGACGCATGTTGGGGGGTGTTCTGGTTACTTGTTAGGGATTTTAACTTTTTGTATGCATATAGAGTATTTTAATATTTAAACATATATTACATATCATATTATACTTTTAAAATCTTGATAGAAAAATAATAGAAACTAAAAAGACCATAGTATCCCTAATTTAACGGATCTTATCTAACAACGTTTTCCCGGAGGATGAAAACCGAAATGAATTACAAACCATAAGGACGAAAAAAGCAACTTTTAAAGAGCAAAGACGAAAATCGTTATAAGTAACAAACCACAGGAACGAAAATCGTAGTTTACTCTCTCTCTATATCTATACTATATTATAAAGCATTTGACTAAAACTCTTAAAAACTCTTAAACTCTTAAACCCATTCATCCCTAAACAATTTCATCCCTATCCGATTTCATCCCATAACTGAATTCGTGTAACTAACTGCAGATAAACACAATCAAATACAGG